TAATTAATACTTATCTCTGCTGCATGGGTGATTTCTTTAAATAATATGTTTACATCAGCTGACCACTTAGGGTGAGATAGAAGGGGGGAAAATGGTAATTAAGTAATTAACTTACAATTCCTCTCCAAATCATATCAATTAAATTCAAATCAATACCAATATAAATTCATGCGCAAATTTATTCAATGCAAAAATAACTCACACAAACTAATCCCACAGAAACCATTAAATTATTCAGCAAAAATAAAGAATTACAAAGTGCATATTCGTATCGCATATTTGCATAATCCATTCATTACACAACTCAAATATTTTTACAATCAATAAACAACCTTATCTTTAGAATACTTTTTCGTTTTTTTTTAAAAAAAAAAAAAAGGCTAGTCTGAAAAATAATACCTAGTCCCCTAATCAATATTGATATCGAATCCAAAAAAGCGCCATTAATAAGCAAATTTCAATGAAAGAGCATATGGCTATGAAAAGAAAAACAATTTTTTAACGATGGCAACGGTTTTTAAGGCTTTGTTTATTAAAAACGGATACAAGAAAGGGGGAGAACGTAAAATGCACCAGGCTGTATAAGGGAGAGAAAAAAAATAATGTACAAGTTTTTCAAATGATTAGCAGTGTAAACTTGTTAATTTTTTTTTTCTGTTGGAGATTTAAATAAGAAAAAAATGAAATTCATAGAAAATAAAAAGGGAGAAAATAAAAATTAAACTAAAAGAGCAATTTTAAAACGGATAAAATTCAAATTTTCTTTCAGGTAGGGTTTTATATCTGTAAAACATTCGATCCGAATTTAAGACGATTCGTCAATCGACAACATCAATCAAATGCTCCGTTCCACTGACTGTAATCAACAAATCACGCTTTGTTTATACAGGAGATAATTTTTCTTCCGCAAAACGTGTCGTATGCATCGTTTGGAGGCAATGTAAAAATGTAGATTAATTAGTAGTTTGCATATTTTAAAGTTAAAAGTAAATCGTCTGCAGTTTATTTAATGGGATTTTTGGTGGCATCGATAAGATTTAAATTATTATTGGATTTAAATACCGCAATCATTTGAGTCAGGTACAACATTACTTTCCCTGCTGATTCAATTAAGTAGTAATAAGTCCTTAGAGCTGCTCAAAGGCTGATTAATGTCTATAAGTTTCTCACCAGAAAGCCATCTGTTTAGACGAGGAGCTTTAAAGTTGACATGATGAATGCGCGAGTTTTGGGTGATTTGTGACATATTAGGATGCATTCGTGGCATGCCTCTTAGTTTGAGCTATGAGTGCTTATAACCACCGAAGATTATCGGTTTGTCTGCAGCATGGCATAACCCTTGCTTGAATTGTAAATACTTTACAACAAATGGAATTCTTTTTACTTGCTTGCAGCATAGCATTATATTCCTTGCATAAGGTGTTAATGTTTACAACCACAGCGCTTCACTATTTTGTCCACCACATAACAAAACTATGCTGAAGGTCGAATTGCGAATGTTAACAAAAGCTACCATTATTTGTGAATTACGATTACGAACTGTTTTACTTAAGTTATATTCTGGCAAAATAAACAACTAAAAGATTTTGGGATTGGGTCTCATGGTGTGTCACATTACTTATTTCAGATATAATATCAAATAAATAATTTATCATTAAAAGTTTAAGAGAGCATTAAAAATTTAGAAGCAGCTATGCTTTAAACTGAAACAACTTTTTCTCTAATTCACTAAATAGATGGCGCCGTAAACGCAATTGCATCTAGAATATGTTATTGAGAAGAAAAAGAAACCAATCTAAAATCGTATCTATTTTCTCCAGCATCAATAATAGATTAGGCAAGGTTGGATTGCTTTCTCTCCCCCCCCCCTTTTTTTATTTTATTTAAATAGACATTGAAAAGTAAAATTTCTAGCGATATTATAAAAAATTTATGAGTATATACGAAAACAAGAAGAGTTTACTGTGAGGAAAATAAAATTTAAATTGATTTTAAGGTGATAAATTAGGAAGTACAAAATTTATCAAATTTGCAATTATGTGACCCATGGTCAATGTTTAACGGTTAATTCTAATGGTTAATGTTGCAAGTTTAGGGGGAAAAAATTGCCAATATGTTTTGTAAAAATATTTGAAGTCCCAAAGTACAAAACGTCCACATTTTTAGAAAAGTTTTGACTGGACAGTGTCTACTTTAAATTAAATTTTTTTAAATTTTAATTCTTTCTCACAAAATGTTTTTGGAGGAAGAAAACATATTTAGTAACGCTTCATTTTAGAAATTTCATTGCAATAGTTTCCAAACTGTATAAAATTTTAATTTTAACGTGTTTACTATCCTATAATTCAACAAGTATCTACAATTCAACATATCCGTATCTATAATTAAACATATCCAACGTATCCTATAATTCAACAAGAGAAATAACATTTTTAAATATACTGGGGTGCTAAGCCCCCTGTTCACTGCCGCTCACCAACCCCCCTTTTGCAATAATTATTGTACGTCGGCAGAAAACAGTTTTTCGTCTTTTTTTTTAAACAAATATTTAAATCATTCTCTTAACATATATGTACTAAAAAAATTCCGTTTGCTTAAGAGACATGGGGTTCCCACTTCTCATGCTCAAATATCATTATCTATTAGTACTATAAATATTTAGATCAATTGATAAACAGAAGTAACAATTACGTTATAATAATAATAAATTTTTTTTATTAGTTTTAAACTCTTAAATCGACAGTGTTATAATAGCAGTACAGGAAAATACCTCTAAATTAGGGTTACTAAAATATTTATAAACAATACCTTGATAACTTTCATTAATTTTATGCTGATGATAACCAAAACAATATGAAATTGAATGAGGGAAAACTGGATTCTACCACGTCATTTTCCGGCCAATAAAAATGCACCGACAACAATGGAAAACTGCAACAACATCATGAGATTTTAATATATTTAGATAGATTTCAATCTTCAAAAACTTAAAATTAAAACATCCGCTTTTTAAAGGCATAGAATTCAATTATTTCATCAGTTTAAAAAAAATTATAACCATAAGTATTTTATACAAAGAAATATTTTCTTCATACTAAAGAGGAGAGTGAATAAAATAAAAGCGATAGAATCTTTTTTTAGGTAAGTAAGATTACTTCCCCAGATAATGCTTATAATAACAATAAAAGTAAGTTCGCGAAAAACAACAAAATAAAGGAAAAGACCATGTTATTGAAAATTGAATCAGGATGCATGGACGTCACAAAGACAGGAGCAGCTGAGAAATGGTGGGAGCCTTTGAAGAAAAAAAAAGGAGACCTGCCCTTTTAAGGTTTTCTGCCAGATAACAAAGATATCCAACCATGAACAGCACAGCCCTTTCAAAATACATAAGAATAGTGTTAAGATAAGGTTAAAGTCACGTTTCACTTTTCAAAAGGGGAAGCTACAAAAAAGTATATAAGTTATCAAATATACAAGGATTCTTTAGTAGTTTTAATAATCAAAAATTGAATTTTTATGGATATTCATTCATTTACGAACATAAAGCTTTTTTTTTTTTAATCATTAACGGTTGTTTCAGAATAATACCAAAATAAAATTAATATTTATTTGACAATGAATAAAAACGCAACTATTTACTCTCGTCCTCTTTTTTTAAATATCTAAAAACCTATCAAATCCGAAATCAATCCTACCAACAAAAACAAAACTTGGATAAATCAATATTTTCAATAGATTTCCCAAGACATTCTCTCGACAAAACACAAATAGAAGCGTAATATAAGATAAAATCAATAAGAAACAAATTAAATAGAAGAAAAAAAACGAGACAACAATCCAACAACAGGCCGGAGTACTGCAGACTGCGTGGCACCTTTAGTAACTTGAAATCGGTGCCAAAACTCAACTTACACCAACACGTACAACCTCGCATAAATATCGACCGGTGGCAACTTTCCTGGAGAAAACTGGAAAAAGGGGGTTGGAGGAGAAAAGGACTTACCAAATCATCTCCAAGTTCCCTCTGGTAGGCGAAGGGAGTGTCAACGGATGTGGGGCCCTTGTACGGAGAGGGCTCAGAAAATCCGTTTTGAGCAAACATAGTGAGGTGCTTCTCCAGTTCCTCGGGGTCAGCCAGGATCCGAGTGGGAACGAGGGGTGCGTGACTCCGGAGAGAGGCACAGGAAGCAGGATCTACGGGACGGGCCACTATGAGTCGGACGTGGGTGCCGGATTGCCTGAGGACCATGGCGACCTGTTCAGAGCCCATGCCGCGCAGGTTCACATCACCTATCTGTAGGATATGGTCGCCACTCTGAAGTCTGCCGTCCTGAAATGACATAAAATATTTTTAGATTAATATAAAATTAAGAAAAAGACCCTTAACGATATTGTTTTCAAAAAAAAAAAAATTTTTTTTTAAAAATATCTTTTAACAGGCTTTAATTTATATTAATTTATCACATAACTTCCAAAATTTTTGCTCACTTGTCCCATTTTATTATGCAAAATCTAATCTTCTTTCACACAACATACCATTTTGAACCGTTTCTTTTATATATATATATATATATATATATATAGAATTGCACTATGTATATATAGAATTTCTCATAGGAGTCTTTCTATANAAAGAATCCTTTATATATATATATATTGAAAGTATAAAATACACAATTCAAAGTCGCGATAGAGCGAAGCTGCTAATGTCACAGTTGGAAGGTTATATGAAATAATTTATGGGTATATGAATTAAGACTATATGAAAAATTTAAGATGAAATAAAACAAAATAAGTTATTACATAATAAAAAAACTGAAAGGATTACCACAATAGGGGAAATCGAAAAACATTAGCAGGAAATAACATTCTAATTGTTACCTCTGGAATACTAAAACATGAAATGCTCAAAAGTTTGTACCAGGTAATAACATACTAAATATTACCTTGGGAATACCAAAGCAGGAAATGCTCAAAAGTTTGTACCAGGAAATAACATACTAAATATTACCTTGGGAATACTAAAACAGGAAATGCTCAAAAGTTTGTACCAGGAAGTAACATACTAAATATTACCTTGGGAATACCACAACAGGAAATGCTCAAAAGTTTAGACCAGGAAATAACATCTTAAAAATCCAAAAACACTGAAACGAAATTAAAGTGGATGCCCTGACATACATGGCAGCTCCGTCAGCGCGGGAGCAGTTTCAGCGGTTGGCGGTATATTACCGCAGACAACTATACCCAGACTGCTCTTTCTATTCTTTTTATTTAACAATTTCTTTATTCATTTATGCAAAAAATTATAATATTAATTCAAAATTGCAAATAGTTAAACTTTTGAAAAAATTATCGGGTGTATTTTTAATATTGAAATAAAAATTCCTTATGAATAACTATCCAACGTAGATGGATAAACAAATAAGTTAAAATTCCCAAATTAAATTTCTATTAAAATTTGTAATTTGGCTCAGTAATTATTAGATGAAATAACTAAAATATTTAATAATTTTACAATCAAAATATTATGAGTATTGAAGCTAAACTGTTTTGTCAGAAGTAAATTATTATATGTTATCTATACTTAGAGGTCCCTATATTAGATGAAAGATCTTTTAATTCCAATTATAAATCAAAAGATGAAAAAATAATTTTTATTATTTTGAAATGACAAATCTGAATCACTAAAGATTCCTTACTGTATTTACTGCATGTTAAAATGTCTCTCAATTCAAACTATTTAAAACCTTGCCTCTAAAAACAATTTAGTTTTTTTTCTCCCTAAAATTATTCAAGAGTATTAAAAAATTTTAATAACAAATCCAGTAAAATAAGACTGCAAGAAAAAGCCTAAAATATTTTAAACAATTAGCGAAGCACAAAATTCCGAGATTGAAAATTTTCAATAATTTCTTTATTAGATTATCTTCATTATATCAAAACCGCAAAAGGGAAACGAAATTTGCGAAGTGATTATCTGTGATTTTCTACCAGCAAAGAATCCTTCATACAGAATCCAGATTTGTGCAAGCGCATGCAGACACGCGAGTAACATATAAAATTATGGCCCATTGGTACGATACAGACGACGGCAAATCCGAAAACGTTGAACAAAACACTGTAAAAAATCATGCATTTTCCGTATTTCAAGGAGGCAGTCCAGTAAAATAAGACTGCAAGAAAAGCCTAAAATATTTAAAACAATTAGCGAAGCACAAAATTCCAAGATTTAAAATTTTCAATTCTTTATTAGATTATCTTTATTAAATCAAAACCGCAAAAGGGAAACGAAATTTGCGAAGTGATTATCTGTGATTTTCTACCAGCAAAGAATCCTTCATACAGAATCCAGATTTGTGCAAGCGCATGCAGACACGCGAGCGACATATAAAATTATGGCCCATTGGTACGATACAGACGACGGCAAATCCGAAAACGCTGAACAAAACACTGTAAAAAATCATGCATTTTCCGTATTTCAAGGAGGCAGTCCAGTAAAATAAGAGACACGCGAGCAACATATAAAATGATGGCCCATTGGTACGATACAGATGACGGCAAATCCGAAAACGTTGAACAAAACACTGTAAAAAATCATGCATTTTCCGTATTTCAAGGAGGCAGTCGAAATGACAAAGAAAAAAATCTCATTTCATCATTTTTTACCATCACCCAATGAAAAAAAAGCACATGTAAGGGCTAATAGAAACGCACCCTGCTCTGCTCATTTAAATATAAATTTGCGACCCAGGATGTAAACGTTATTAGACTAAGTGTTTCTTATAAGGACTCCAAAATATATATTAAAAAATCCAACGTTTTAAGAATTTCAGAGTGCCTCCAAAACGAATCATGTCTACAGCAGAATATATTAAAAATAATTACTTCAAAGGAACTAACTGGGTAAAAGACTTAAGAATATTTTTATTTAAAATGCTAGAAAGTAGGTTTTTAAAAGTCTTTAAAGCATCCTAAATAAATTAAGCATCTTCTAATATTAAACGCTCAAAGCGCAACAGCCCAGTAGTTACTGGCAATGCTGAAGTAAAATAATGCTCCCCGTACTTTGACTTATGAGCTCCAAGTGACATTTTATTCAAGCATATATGAAGGATTAACACTTTAACCAAACTCATTAGAAGAGAGTTTACACAAAAATACCCTCCCTTCACAAGTTGGTAAACACAAACTCAGGAATTCTATCACTCTCGTCTTGCATACTTAACGAACGAGACCTGACGTTTAAAAATCACACATTTAGAGATTCTAGTTTGAATATTGATTAGAACGTCGGGAGAATCTTCCCGACAACTCAACCCCACTTTTAATTCTGCCAAATCCCAAACTACGCATGTCATACAAAGTTTCGTTGTTGGAAGAAAATTAATTAACCATAAAAGTGTTTAGAACATGGCGAACATTGGAAACTAGGTTCTTTTTATTAAACTTCTCAAATATCAAGGCATTAAAGAGAAAAGTTGGAAGAACTTTAGACGAAGGCCTCATCTTTTAGAGGGGAATTTTTGGCCTGTTTAAGAAAAGATCACGTCGCATCCTCACTTTTTGCTTAAATCGCAAACGCCAACATAAGCAGAAATTACCAGGAAGGCACGTTTGACTAAAAATTGATGTAATGATGCTTAATTATTACGAAAGAGTGCTATTTCTACTACGCCATTTTTAAAAATTTACTAATTTATTAAAAAGCTGGCATAATTACTACAATTTCGATAATAACTAGTGCAGTTTTATATATCACTCAGAGAATCAAAAGAAATATTCTTATGTTAAGAAATTGAGGAAAGAAATAGATAGGAGAAAGCTGGAAATTGTTTTAAGAGTTGTAGTTCAGGCCAAATATATATGTCAGAATTTTTTATCCCCCCTCGGAATGAGTTTTAGCCGCCATCAAAAATAATTGTGTCGGAACCCTAGGGTTCCTTGGGAGGGAGGGTCACATGGGTTAAGAAGACTAGCACTTTTTTTTAGCAGCATTGATTTTTGAATTTAAATTCAAACATTTATTTCCGACAAATTTTTAAATACGTATATTCCAGAAATAAACTATTTTAAAATCTAAGTTAGGATCATAATGAGTTTAAAAAATAAATTGTACAATAGCTAACCAGAACTTTATGTTCAATAATATCGGGATTGTGATATTATTTAAACCACGACAAGTTTGACGAGTTGACGGGAAAGCTAAACGGAAGAGTTCTTTCATAGGTGGAGAAAGTTAAATAGCTATTTCTTTGAGCTAATTTCTTTTGGCGAGAATTCCAAACTGGCTCACAATTCCTATTCTTCGGCTGACTACAATAGAAAACTCTTTACATAAGTAAGATTTTTTATTCATTTCTCTTCTAGAATACATATATTAAGGTGTTTATAAGCATTTTCCCCAGATTCTTTGACCTCTTTCGTTGCGGCTTTGCCTTCTCTCCCTAAATCGTTGGAATAAACTCAACCAGTTTGCTTTAATCTCACTTTGTGCATGCCAACTCGTGGTGAGAGGCCTATAACTCCGAATTAAATTTCAGCAATGTATAATGAAAATAATCCACTGTATAAGGAAACGTTCAACAGATTACCCTACGTTGTTAAACAACTGCGAAATTTTTTATATAAATTCTTAAATTCTCTTCATTGATACAGTTACGATATCTTTAACACTATTGTAGCTCAATTTATATTTTAACTTAACTTATTTAATTAAAAATTTATTTTACTTCAGCTATTTATTTAATCGCTTTTTCCTTATACTTAAAGTTGAGAGTAAAGAAATGTATTTCCGGCCATACCTTATTTTAAGAACATTCGTTTGGAAGAACGATTTATATAACCTTTGACCAGAGGGGTTTAATATGGGTGGATCATTGAGCTTTCCTTTATTAAAATTCAGAATTGGTATAAAATATTTTAGTTCTGATTGGCTCTTTACTCTTAATCAGAGATGATTGGGTTTTAACTTTTTTTAACTCAAACAGAAATGAGCAGCAAATTTGGTAAAAGTGATGTGTATTTTGTAAAAATTTTTATATTTTTGACGCGAATGAAGTCTTAATCAAGAAATATTTAACCGTTTCAGTTTCTTGGTATTATTTACTTAAAAGGCATACCACTTTAAAAAATTTGTTAAGTCACCCTCTGCTTATAATACGAGGCAATCTTGAACTTGTCTTTCATAAATTAAACCATAATGGTTCTTGATTTAATCTTGTTTGTAGTCTTATATTCTACCCATTATTCACGGCAGCTACGCTACAATACCAGATCTTTCCCAAAGGCAGCTAAGCAACTGACTTGTTAGGGAAAAAAACTGCAGTA